CTCCCTCTATAGAGAGACTGCCTAGAGACTGCCCACCCCAGAAAGATAGATGACCCGCTCTGAGCAGAGACTGCCCATCACAGAGAGATGCCTCCTGCCCTGAGAGACAGCCCGGCCGAGACTGCACGTCACAAAGGGGCCCTGTCTGTCCATCAGAGACCGGCCATCTAGGCACAGGCGACCTTATGCACAGAGAACGATGAGGCTGCCTGCTCCAGACTGCCCACCATACACATGTTCAGACTGCCCACCCTGTCTGTAGGCTGCCCGCCCTACACACGCAGAGACTGCCCACCTTATCTGTAGGCTGCCCACCCTACACAACCAGAGACTGCCCACCTTATCCATAGGCTGCCCACCCTACACTCCCAGAGACTGCCCACCCTGTCTGTAGGCTGCCCACCCTACACACCCAGAGACTGACCATCTTATCTGTAGGCTGCCCACCCTACACACCCAGAGACTGACCATCTTATCTGTAGGCTGCCCACCCTACACACCCAGAGACTGCCCGCCTTATCCATAGGCTGCCCACTCTACACACCCAGAGACTGCCCACCTTATCCGTAGGCTGCCCACCCTACACACCCAGAGACTGACCACCTTATCTGTAGGCTGCCCACCCTACACACCCAGAGACTAACCATCTTATCTGAAGGCTGCCCACCCTACACACTCAGAGACTGCCCACCTTATCCGTAGGCTGCCCACCCTACACACCCAGAGACTGCCCACCTTATCCGTAGGCTGCCCACCCTACACACCCAGAGACTGCCCACCCTGTCTGTAGGCTGCCCACCCTACACACCCAGAGACTGCCCACCCTACACACGCAGAGACGACTGCCCACCCTACACACCCAGAGACTGCCCACCTTATCTGTAGGCTGCACACCCCACACACCCAGAGACTGCCCACCCTGTCTGTAGGCTGCCCACCCTACACACCCAGAGACTGCCCACCTTATCTGTATCCACAGGGCGATATTGTGAATTAGATTTCAAAATGTTCAGCCCATTCACACTCTCCGCATGGATCACCGTGAAGCACATGGCATGCATTGGTGCTATGTGGTGCCATTCATTATGAAATGCATCCCAACCGATGTGCGTTGCTGAAAATGCTGCATGCAACCTCGCAACACACGTAACGCGCATGCATGCTTGTAAGGCGGCCCGGGCTGCTGTGAATGGGCCGTTGCAGTCACATGACTGACGATTAAGATCCTTATCCTTGTGTAAAGCTTCATAAACTGAGCCTTCGGTCTAAAGTCTCCGCCCACCGCGACATTGCTGCCCAGCCGTTGCAGTCCAGGGATTGGATGCGGCCCCGTCCGAGCCTCCCAAGCATTCCCTACACAGCGGCGGGAACCAGCGAAGGGGCAAAGGTCGTTTATCCCGCTTGGCACAATCTATGTGTAATTACTCTATATTGCAGCATCATTAGCAGCGGCGGGTCCCCCGGGGGCCACCAGAGACGCCGATGGATAAACAAGCAATTCTCAGCGCCATATATGGGCAGCCGTACATGTGCCACGCATGAGCGATCCAGCTTGCGGTGAACTACAACTCCCAGCATAGCCCACGCGGCAGTGTGAGCGGAGGCACGGAGCCGAAAAGCAATTCTGCCGCCATCAATAAATCATTAGGGCAAAATACCCTCCATTTCCTGCACAGCTGGAGCGGCCACTGCCCCGCGCTCTCCCCCCGCGCCATGTGATGGGGGGGCGGGGCAAGGATTCGCACTGAGGGTGCACGAACGTTCCCGCAGACCCGGCGCGCTTCGCTTGGTGCATCTCACCGCGTTGTAAAGTTCCTGGAAACGATTCCGACGTTGTGGAGTGAGGAGGAGGCAGGAAAAACCCGGAGATTCTGCAGAGCGTCGCGTTTTATAGACGAGGAGCGCGTTCTGCGCGGCGGGGGGTGTGACCGCACCTGCAGGAGCGGGTAACGCGCCCTAAACTTTACCATGCAGGAAAATACATTTTGATGAACGCATTTTGGGGCACTGCAGCAAACCCGTTCCAGGATATTCCAGGGGACCAGTTCCAGCTGAGGTCCGTGAACCCACCAAGATATCGGGGTTCATTCAATGTATTAAAGGAGAACTATGAGAGGGGGGGGAGGGGGGTGATTTTCACTCACCTCATAGTTCTAGCCGACCTGTGACAATGAGACTGTCACAGGTCGGCTCAGTAGATCGGGAGGTGAGCGAACACATACCGGGTTCGCTCACCTCTCGATCCTGTCACTGCTCTCTGCCGTGACAGGGGGAGGGGCTGGATTCCCCTCTCCCCGCTCCGATCCGCCAGTACTGATTGGCAGAACAGACGGGGGAGGGGGCGGGTACAGCTGGCTCTGCCTCTAGATAGGAGGAGCCAGCTGTCACTCACGCAGCTCTCGATGTCGGGATCCGCTGCGGCGTCTCAGTATACCGCGAGCTGTAGCTCCCTATATACTGAGCTTAGGGTGACGGGAGGACGCTAGTTTGTGTCCTCCCGTTACCCTAAGGAGAACTATGGGGAAAAGCCCTGACCCCATAGTTCTCCTTTAAGGTACAACTCCAGGAAATGCAGCTAATATAGGTACCCAATCGTGTCTCTATATCAGCTTCCTGGGATCCCCCGCACTCAGAGCAGCAGGTCCAGGAGCCAATCAGGTTCTGCAGTAGTGCTCAGTGCTGACACTGTGATGTCATTCCTGTATTGTCCAATCAGCAGGCTGGAGGTGTGTCCCGGACCCGGCTGTGCTGTTGCTGCAGTAGAGGTCCGGGCAGCGCTGACAGGTTCACTGGACTAAACCCCTGGGTGTGTGGCAGCACTGGATGGAATTCGAGACCCGTTTTGGTCAATGCTCGGGGGCCCCTTATGGATGATTGAGGGTCCTGGGCTGCTCAGCTCTCAGAGGTGCCCAGCGCGGTGCTGGTTCCTCAGGCTGGAAGAGTCACACACTGAAAGAATTCGGTTTTAATTAGTGAAAGGAATATACAGTTGACGCGTTTAGAGGGATTCGGGCTTCTAGTAATAGTATCGGGTATTGTTACGGAACCACATGGAGGCCGGGTTCAGAGGCTGCGGGTGAAGACAAAGTGTTAATGTTGGTTCAGTGTGGCAATGACAAGAATGAGGGGGGGCGGAGTCCAAATCCCCCGAAACGCGTTGTCTGTATTCCTTTTACCAACACCAATAATGTGCCAATGACAGAGGGAGGGGCAGTCCTGGGGATTGCCGGAGTGAGATGATGATGATGGAGAGTAGCCGGCCAGGTGACTGCGAGTAGTACTGAAAGCTGCATGGCGACACACGAGTTATGGGGGTGCATAGGGGGCACTAAGAGACATGGGGTGCATTTGTAGACTTGGAAGGACA